CTAGAACAAAAATTTTTCACAATTTGTATGGAAACACAAAAGACCCCAAAGCCAAAGCTATCTTGAGAAAGAAAAAAGGAGTTGGAGGAATCAGGCTCCCCGACTTCAGACTATACTACAAAGCTACAGTAATCAAGACAGTATGGTACTGGCACAAAAACAGAAAGATAGATCAATGGAACAGGATAGAAAGCCCAGAGATAAACCCATGCACCTACAGTCACCTTATTTTTGATAAAGGAGGCAAGAATATACAGTGGAGAAAAGACAGTCTCTTCAATAAGTGGTACTGGGAAAACTGGACAGCTACATGTAAAACAATGAAATTAGAACACCCCCTAACACCATACACAAAAATAAACTCAAAATGGATCAAAGATCTAAATGTAAGGCCAGACACTATAAAACTCTTAGATGAAAACATAGGCAGAACATTCAATGACATAAATCACAGAAAGATCCTTTTTGACCCACCTCTTAGAGAAATGGAGATAAAAACAAAAATAAACAAATGGGAAGGACCTAATGAAACTTCAAAACTTTTGTACAGCAAAGGAAACCATTAACAAGACCAAAAGACAACCCTCAGAATGGGAGAAAATATTTGCAAATGAAGCAACTGACAAAGGATTAACCTCCAAAATATACAAGCAACCCATGCAGCTCAATATGAAAAAAAAAACAACCCAATCCAAAAATGGGCAGAAGACCTAAATAGACATTTCTCCAAAGAAGACATACAGATTGCCAACAAACATATGAAAGGATGCTCAACATCAGTAATTATTAGAGAAATGCAAATCAAAACTACAAAAAGGTATCACCTCACACCAGTCAGAATGGCCATCAACAAAAAATCTACAAACAATAAATGCTGGAGAGGATGTGGAGAAAAGGGAACCCTCTTGCACTGTTGATGGGAATGTAAATTGATAAAACCACTATGGAGAACAGTATGGAGGTTCCTTAAAAAACTAAAAATAGAATTGCCATATGACCCAGCAATCCCACTACTGGGCATATACCGAGAGAAACCATAATGCAAAAAGACACATGACATGCACCCCAATGTTCATTGCAGCACTATTTACAATAGGCAGGACATAGAAGCAACCTAAATGTCCATCAACAGAGGAATGGATAAAAAAGATGTGGTACATATATATAATGGAATATTACTCAGCCATAAAAAGGAATGAAACTGGGTCATTTGTAGAGACGTGGATGGACCTAGAGACTGTCATACAGAATGAAGTAAGGCAGAAAGAGAAAAACAAATATCGTATATTATCCCATATATGTGGATTCTTAAAAAATGGTATAGATTATCTTATTTGCAAAGCAGAAATAGAGACACAGACGTAGAGAATAAACATATGGATACCAAAGGGGAAAAGGGTGTGGGTAGGATGAATTGTGAGATAGGGATTGACATATATACACTATTGATACTATATATAAAATAGATAACTAATGAGAATGTACTGTAAAGCACAGGGAACTCTACTCAGTGCTCTGTGGTGACCTAAATGGGAAGGAAATCCAAAAATGAGGGCATATATGTATATGTATAGCTGATTCACTTTACGGCAACTATATCCCAATAAAAATTTTTCAAAGAAGAAACCAAAATAATTTTTTTTAGTTTCTTAATCTCTTTTATTTTATTTTTAACTGAAGTATAGTTGATTTACAATGTTGTGTAAGAAACCAGAATATTATCAGAGTCCCAGAAGACTCTAATGTGCCCCCTTTTTGTCACAGCCTAACCTTTGAGAGTAACTACAGTTGACTTTTAGCATCATAGACTTTGGGGGGTTTGTACTAACCATTATATAATTGAAGTTGTATAGTATATAATCTTTTGTGTCTGAATTCTTTCATTCAACATTATATTTGTAAAATTGATTTATACTGTTGCATATAGTTGTTTGTTGGTTCTCATTACCATTGTATAAATATGCCAGTATTTAATAATCTACTATAAAGAATTTATTAATTTTACAATAAAAGCACAATGGCTGTAAATAAATAAATAAATACATAAATAAAAGTCATGAAAAGCAATTCAGCCAAATTTCATAAGACTAGCTAGAGAAATCCCACCATAAGCTGCTCAACTGAGTTTTCTAAGTAGCTTGCTCCTCTTTATCATTCCATTTAAAATTTAAAATTTGGAAGTTAGGGGTTCCCTGGTGGCGCAGTGGTTAAGAGTCCACCTGCCGATGCAGGAGACACGGGTTCGTGCCCTGGTCCGGGAAGATCCCACATGCCGCGGAGCAGCTAGGCCCGTGAGCCATGGCCGCTGAGCCTGCGCGTCCGGAGCCTGTGCTCCGCAACGGAAGAGGCCACAACAGTGAGAGGCCCGCGTACCGCAAAAAAAAAAAAAAAATTGGAAATTAACCCATAGGCCATCGGGAGAACATCTGTATACCTTTGAAGAGAACATAACTATGAATGGAAGTGAAGGAATAATTCTATTCCCAGTCCTTGTCAATATTCATATCCTGACCTTCACTGCACAGTTATTCTGGTTCTTGAGTTCATTTAAAGAGTTTAACTGCTTATAGTGAATTTACTCAATCAGATAATGATTGAGTAAAAACTACAGTCATTCTACTCATTTATTTTTTTAACTTTAAGTCTTAAACAAGAGTCCAAGTTAAGTGGAAGTAAAAGGAAAATACAGTTGTCACTTTATAGAGACTGGCTAAATGATTTTATACTTTTGATCCTTCATCAAGGCATATTCTTAAGAACCTCATTTTATAATACTTCCCTGTTTTTTTCTTCTACTTCCAGAAGTCTAACTTTCAAAATGTATGAAACACTGGGGAGGTTCATCACTCATCTTTATTTCACAGGGCTTTCTGCTAACATAATTCAGCCACAAAAGGATTAAATGCTTCCAAGAATGAAAATTGCATAACTGACAAGTGTGAAGTGGCTCTCTCTTACCTTAGCATCTTTTTTGAGTAATTACTTCACTGAATGTTCTACCAGAAATGAGTTAGGCGGTTCCTGAGCCATGCAGAGGGTGATGTATAGATGATATTATGTCTTTTGACACGTGACACTAAGGCTAAAACATTTAACTTGATGGATATATAGTATTTCTACAGGCTGGTGGTATTCCCTGAGGAATTTCTAAATGTCCCAGTGAATCTATAACCTTCCCTCAATACCTTGAAGCACTTATAGAACCAGGGATTTCCCAGAGCAGAGCACCCTCTTTGCTGATACATCTATGGAATTACAGAATTTCTGAGCTGGAAAAGATCTAGGAAAGCCCCCATAATGACAAATCTTCCTTAAACAGAGTATAAATAAATATCTAGTCTAGTCCTCTCAATTTCCAGATGAGGTAAAGTGACGGGTCCAGGGTCACTGCAAATAGCTTGACTTCTTCCATTTTAATTCAGTTCTCTTCCCACCGTTGACACTGCCCCTGATTTGAGAGTAAGCCAAAGGATATGTCATACTCTCCTTAGTAGGTAGTCTATCCATCTATATGGAATATTCTAGAGGATTGCCTGCTCTGATTAGTTTTGTGTAGTATGAAATTAATTTGCATCATAAAGAAGAACTCAAACAGGAGTATATAGGAAAGGACACTTTCCCAGAGTCTATGCCCTGTGGCTCCCAGTCACTGAGTCAGCCAGGTGGACTACAAGAAACAGAAAAGGTATGTGTGTGGGGGCGAGTTTAAAATTTCTCAATCGGCTATTTATAAAGTTAACATTTTTATATCAAATATAACTCACAATATGCTTTACCAAGTTTTTACATTTTAAAAAATAGATCTACCTGTAAGAATCTGGTATTTACTTAACAAGCTGCTCTTCTTAAAAATGATGCAGAACATCTCTTGAGTTCTGACATGAAATGGATATAATTACCTACCCTTCTCTCCTTTCTGGCCTTTTGGACCTTGGGGTCCAGTGACTCCTGGTGGCCCTAGGATCCCCATATCACCAGCTTCTCCCTTAAAACCTGGAAATGAGATTTAAAAACCATCAGGGTAGAAAAATTCTCTTTTGAGATTCATTACTTCCAAAAAAATCAGTCATTTTATTGAGGCCAATGACTGTCAGTGTCCTAATGATAAAATCTGGGTGAGAATAAACTATTACAGAGTTCTAAGGACAATATTTTTTCTGATTTGCAATTTTGCACTACCTGAATAGATAAACTGAGCCCATTAGTACTTGTCACTGAATTCATGGCAGTGATCAAATGATTCAGAGAAGCAGTACTATATCAAACAACAAGAAAAGATGATTATCTGACTCTTAACCTCATGTGGACCACACTTTCAAATTGGAAGTAAAACCACAATACCTAGCACTTTTGGTTTTCCCATTCCTTCACTTATATACTCATTCAGGAAAAATTGCTGAGCCCCCCTACACACCAAGCATCCTGATAGGTGTCAGGAATCAGCCATCAACATTCCAGCAGTCCCTTCCCTCATGGAGCTGAGAGTCCATGAAAGATAAACATGAACAAATAACCACACAAATAAATAGAAATGGCCACACTGTTGTTAGTTATGTAAAGAAAAGAGAAAGTTCCTATTGTAGATGGTGGTTTAAAAAAAAACTGATTTATGGGATCAGAGGATACCTCCTGGAAAAAAATGTCATTAAGCTAAGACCCAATGAACAAATTAGAAATTTCTGAGACAAAGAAAAAAAAAACAAACATGGATGAGTATTTCAGGAAACACAAGAGTAGAAAAGACCATGGTGTTTTTAAGAAACTGAAAGAAGAGCACCATGGGCGGAGCTAGCGATCAGGGTAAAAGAGGCTGAGGGGCAGGTGAGGGGCAGATGGTGCAGGACTCAGACCTCACTGGTGTCCTCGCTCATCCCAGCAGCCCAGGTCCCTTCCACTTACCTGGGCCACACAGACACCCAAGCCTAGGACAGTTATCGTTCCTGCAACCCCAGTCCTGTTCAAGCTTGATTGGAATAATTTATGGCCAGGTTCTTTGAAAGTTAACCATATAAATAAGTACACTCAATTAAATTGTAATCTTTCATCTTAATTATTATAATTAAGTTGATGGGATGGAGAAAATTATTTTCAATCTGTTGAATTTCCTCTTTGAAAGAACGCTGTATTTGTTTAGATGAAAAGCTTTAATAAATTGCATGCAATGGAGGTTAAGGCTGAAGGCAAGCTTAAGAAGCCAAAGTGGTGGTTAAGCTCTTCTGTCTAAAAAAGAAGGAAGAGCAGAGAGGAAAGGAATGGAGAACAAAGAGCAGGGAAGGCAGAAGCAAGCAAAATGATCAATTACAGTTCACTGTGCAGTGACCCCCCTTCCTCACGACCCCCAAATGCCCAATGTGGTTATGAGGGAAACGCACAGGGAGCACACAGCAACTACCTGCAAGGGCACAAGGGGCAGGCAGGCTGCCCCTTCCATCTAGGCAAGGTGTACATCTTGGTTAGTTTAGTGTAAATATCGGAAGGCCTGGACCTAATGGAAGAGCTGGGGCTGGAGGGTGCACAAACCGAGTTTGACACCAGGTTCTATACTCTCAGGTGCTATAACCTCTAGAATTACCTGAAACCCTCTGAAACGCAATTAAATTATGCACTGAAATGTAATAATATTTTAATCATTTTCTACAAAGATGAGAAACAACATAAAGTGCTTAACAGTTCTTGGCACATAGTAGGTAACTATTATATAACTGAATTAATGAGAGAAGCTGGAGATAAAATTTCAAATGGAATTTTACCTTTACGAGCTATTAGATAGAGCTGAGCTGTATACTTCAAAACACTTTCATTCAGAAACTCTGTAAAATTAGGCTCATAACTTTTAAAGTCTACATTTATTATTCACATTACAGTAGATAACACAAATGTGATGTATGTACTATGTGTGTTAATTAATGTATGTAATAAGCTGAGCTCTAAGAACAGCGCAGCTAAATCCACCACTGGGTAAGACAAAAGCCCTGATGCTATGACTTACAAGACAGTTTAGCAACCAGCTGTGTTTACATGACCCCCTCCCACTCCCCGCTAGCAGCTTGCCAGACATGATACTAAGAGAAACCCTGGTAAATATAATTTTCTCAGTCTAATTAGATCTCCAGTAATGTTTTGGCAAGCCTGAAATCTTGGTTCCCCAGACCCCTGCCCAGCTTCTTTCCCATTCAATACCACCTCCACATAAACACTGATCACATTTCCCAAAAGCTTCCTGAAATGGGATGAAATGAATGAAAAGCTTAATGAGGATGCAGAATTCCTGATTTTATAACTTTAAATTCTTCAGGCAAGACACAACAAATATTTATATGTAATTCTTTCAGGGAATAGTGGATTTGAAATTGACATTCTGATCTCACTTCTTCCTTGAATTCTCTGCTGTAGGACATGTGAAAGCTGAACTGTATTACAATAAAAGTGAGAGTATATTCATACTGTATACATGAAAGACATCTGAAATTTTGAAATATTTAACCATGACGTTCAATGGAGAAAATTCCTGGGCAAGGGGACTGCGTTGCCTCAGAATTTCAATGAGAAGTGAACTGAATCCCGCCTTTATTCTCCACCTCACAGGCATTCCATTTCTAATCCTAACTACAAGTAGCACTCCAAAACCCCATCAGTCAGTACACATTCTTACCAGACCACCGAATTTTCACTTACCCTATTTACATCAGCCATTAATGAAAAGATTGTGTAACTGGAAGGACTACACACCAGTGCTAGGGTTGGTAGGCCAGTCTCTGCTCTAACCAGCACCATCCAGTAGAACTTTCTGCAATTATGGAAATGCTCTATATCTGTGCTGCCCATTGGCCACACGTGGCTACTGAGCATTTAAAATGGGACCCGTGTGACTGAGAAATTGAATTTTTAATCTCATTTAATTTTAATATTAATAGCCATACATGGGACTCTGGCTACCCCACTGGGCAACAGAACCCATTGCATTTGTCACAGTGTTACACCTAGGCTTGTCCCATTCGCATGACAATGTAGAAACCCTTGAGGCAATTCCACCACCAATCCACCACCTCTCAACTCTAAGGATGTACAAGTGAGAAATATAGGGCCTCGTATATTTTCAAATACCTGGATTTCCAGTCTCTCCAGGTTCTCCTTTTTGCCCTGGTCCAGATGAACAACAATCACAGCAATTCAAGAAGAAATCAGCCGTGTCAAGAGTGAGGTTTTCAGAGGGGAAGAGGGTGGCAGCACCAAAGACAGAATTGAAAGCTGAGGGGTCAGGGGTTGGTTCTGCCATTTCAGCTGCTTCTGTGAAGGGAGTTTCTTCTTCTTCTGGAGGTTGGCCACTGGATGGCTTTGGACCCTTTGGCATCTCTTTTCCCTCAGACTTCGTGAATTTGGTATATGGTGTGGTCTTTACTATTGTGTCCACACCAGCAACAGCCAAGATAATTAAAATGGCACAAAACCAAGAAAATATCCACATATTTGAGGCTGGAAGAAAGATATAATGGGAATATATACATATATTACAAACTAAAAGACAAAGTGATATAGATATATTCTTATATGAGAGGAATATATATACATATATGAACCATAAGAATGAACAGTATGCATAATACTAAGTGATTTTTATACATTTCATATGTAAATGTATGCTTGATTCACAACGGAATATTTTATTTACTTAAAGTATTTATTGTAAGGAACATTTTGCTTCAATACTCCTTTCTGGTTGTTTTCCCAGTGTTACATGTACTAAAATATTGTTCTCAATCGTTAAAATTATCTTGCCAAAAAGCAAACATGATCTATAATAAATGCAACATGACTTAATAGCTCATATACCCTGTGGAAAACAAATCTGAATAAAATCATGACTGACTTCACCCAGATTTATAGGAATCAAATACATCTGTATTAGAGGGAGATGAAAAATATTGAGCTGAATTGTTTATTTCAGCAAACTCAATTATTTCAAGAAAAAATACTGGTAAAAGAGTCCTTAAATCTACTCAGGATAATGGTCTTGTTATGAGAACAATCTTTTAGAATCTGTTGTAATAAATAGAGAGAGAGAATAAAAAATCATAAATTTAAATATGTGTTATGTCTTCAGATTCTTCACATGCCATTTAACTCTCCAATTCTTTGCTTTATAATTTAAGGGTTTTTCTGCAAACTCACATTTATCTTTGTATTATTTTAATGGGCCAAATAGTGGTTATTCTTATTAAGGCTTTTATCACTGTTCAAGGGGATATAAGGTTCCTGATGAAATGAAATTTTGAGAGTTCATAATATTCCATTCCCCAGAAACTCCCAGTAGTCCAGTGGCTGCTAACAGATAGCCAGGGTTAGAAATGCATGACTTCTGATTGGAAAAGGAAGGAGTGTTTAAGATAAACAGTAAGAGAGAAAAGAGAATGGAAATAAGGATAGTAACAATACCTACTATTTATAGAATCCCTACAAAGAGTAGGTGCCTTATATTCATCAATCCAATCTGTTCTCAAAACAGCTCTGCCAGGTAGACAACACTCACACTCACCTTCACAGATGAGGAAAGAGGCACCAGGTGGTTACATACCTTGTTCAAGATCACACAACCCACAAGTTATTAAGTCAGAACTTAAATCCACGTCTGAATAATATCAAAGTCTCAACCATAGGACCTTCAAGAAGGCAGGGAAGTAAGATGTGGAGATCAACTTCCTCCCCACAAATACATCAAAAATACATCTACATGTGGAACAACTCCTACAGAACACCTACTGAATGCTGGCAGAAGCCCTCAGACTTCCCAAAAGGCAAGAAAATCCCCATGAATCTGGCCGTGGGGCTGACAGGGTCTTGGTACTCTGGCCGGGTGCCAAGCCTGTGCCTCTGAGGTGGGAGAGCCGAGTTCAGGACACTTTTCCACCAGAGACCTCCTGGCCCCAGGTAATATCAATTGGTAAGAGCTCTCCCAGAGATCTCCATCTCAACACTAACACCCAGTTCCACTCAACGATCAGCAAGCTCAAGTGCTGGAAACCCCACGCCAAACAACTAGCAACACAACCCCACCCATTAGCACAGAGGCTGCCTAAAATCATACTAAGTTCACAGACACCCCAAAACACACAATTGGATGCAGTCCTGCCCACCAGAAAATTCCAGCCTCATCCACAAGAACACAGGCATTAGTCCCCTCCACCAGGAAGCCTACACAAATCACTGAACCAACCTTACCCACTGGAGCAGACACGAAAAACAATGGGAACTATGAACCTGCAGCCTACGAAAAGGAGGCCCCAAATGCAGTAACTTAAGCAAAATGAGAAGACAGAGAAATACACAACAGATAAAGGAGCAAGGTAAAAACCCACTAGACCAAAAAAAATGATGAGGAAATACGCAGTCTACCTGCAAAAGAGTTCAGAGTAATGATAGTAAAGATGATCCAAAATCTTAGAAATAGAATGGAGAAAATACAGGAAACATTTAACAAGGACCTAGAAGAACTAAAGAGCAAACAAACAATTATGAGCAACAAAATAAATGAAATTAAAAATTCTCCAGAAGAAATCAATAGCAGAATAACTGAGGCAGAAGAACAGATAAGTGACCTGGAAAATAACATAGTGGAAATAACTACCACAGAGCAGAAAAAAGAATGAAAAGAACTGAGGACAGTCTCAGAGACCTCTGGGGCAACATTAAACTCACCAGCATTCGAATTATAGGGGTCCCAGAGGAAGAAAAGGAAAAGAAAGGGACTGAGAAAATATTTGAAGAAATTATAGTTGAAAACTTCCCTAATATGGGAAAGGAAATAGTAAATCAAGTCCAGGAAGTGCAGAGAGTCCCATACAGGATAAATCCAAGGAGAAACACACCAAGGCACATATTAATCAAACTATCAAAAATTAAATACAAAGAAAAAATATTAAAAGCAGCAAGGGAAAAGCAACAAATAACATACAAAGGAATCCCCAAAAAGTTAACAGCTGATCTTTCAGCAGAAACTCTGCAAGCCAGAAGTGAGTGGCAGGATATACTTACAGTGATGAAAGGGAAAAACCTACAACGAAGATTACGCTACACAACAAGGGTTTCATTCCAATTCGACAGAGAAATTAAAACCTTTACAAACAAGCAAGAGTTAAGAAAATTCATCACCACGAAACCACCTTTACAACAAATGCTAAAGGAACTTCTGTAGGCAGGAAACACAAGAGAAGGAAAAGACCTACAATAACAAACACAAAAAAATTAAGAAAATGGTAATAGGAACATACGTATTGATAATTACCTTAAATGTAAATGGATTAAATGCTCCAACCAAAAAACAGACACTGGCTGAATGGATACAAGAACAACACCCATATAAATGGTGTCTACAAGAGACCCATTTCAGACCCGCTTCAGACACATACAGACTGAAAGTGAGGGGGTGGAAAAAGATATTCCATGAAAATGGAAATCAAAAGAAAGCTGGAGTAGCAATACTCGTATCAGACAAAATAGACTTTAAAATAAAGACTATTAGAAGAGACAAAGAAGGACACTACACAATGATCAAGGGATCAATCCAAGAAGATATAAAAATTGTAACTATTTACACACCCAACATAGGAGCACCTCAATACATAAGGCAAATGCTAACAGCCATAAAAGGGGAAATCGACAGTAACACAATAATACTAGGGGACTTTAACACCTACTTTCACCAATGGACAGAAAAAGCAAAATGCAAATAAATAAGGAAACACAAGCTTTAAATGATACATTAAACAAGATGGACTTAATTGATATTTATAAGACATTCCATCCAAAAACAACAGAATACACTTTCTTCTCAAGTGTTCACGGAACATTCTCCAGGACAGACCACATCTTGGGTCACAAATCAAGCCTTGGTAAATTTAAGAAAGTTGAAATCATATCAAGTATCTTTTCTGATCACAACGCTATGAGACTAGTTATCAATTACAGGAAAAAAACTGTAAAACATACAAACACATGGAGGCTAAAAAATACACTACTAAAAAACCAAGAGATCACTGAAGAAATCAAAGAGGAAATCAAAAAATACCTAGAAACAAATGACAGTGAAAACACAACGACCCAAAACCTATGCAATGCAGCAAAAGCAGTTCTAAGAGGGAAGTTTACAGCAATACAATCCTACCTCAAGAAACAAGAAACATCTCAAATAAACAACCTAACCTTACACCTAACAATTAGAGAAAGAAGAACAAAAAAACCCCAAAGTTAGCAGAAGGAAAGAAATCATAAAGATCAAATCAGAAATAAATGAAAAAGAAATGAAGGAAATGATAGCCAAGATCAATAAAACTAAAATCTGGTTCTTTGAGAAGATAAACAAAATTGATAAACCATTAGCCAGACTCATCAAGAAAAACAGGGAGAAGACTCATATCAACAGGATTAGAAATGAAAAAGGAGAAGTAACAACTGACACTGAAGAAATACAAAGGATCATGAGAGATTACTACAAGCAACTATATGCCAATAAAATGGACAACCTGGAAGAAATGGACAAATTCTTAAAAAACACAACCTTCCAAGACTGAACCAGGAAGAAATAGAAAATATAAAGAGACTAATCCCAAGCACTAAAATTTCAACTGTTATTAAAAATCTTCGAACAAACAAAAGCCCAGGACCACATGGCTTCACAGATGAATTCTGGCAAACATTTAGACAAGAGCTAACACCTATCCTTCTCAAACTCTTCCAAAATATAGCAGAGGGTGGAACACTCCCAAACTCATTCTATGAGGCCACCATCACCCTGATACCAAAACCAGACAAAGATGTTTCAAAAACAGAAAACTACAGGCCAATATCATGGTTGAACATAGATGCAAAAATCCTTACCAAAATACTAGAAAACAGAATCCTGCAGCACATGAGAAGGATCATACACCATGATCAACTGGGGTTTACCCTAGGAATTCAAGGATTCTTCAGTATAGGCAAATCAATAAATGTGATAAACCATATTAACAAACTGAAGGAGAAAAACCATATGATCATCTCAATAGATGTAGAAAAAGCTTTTGACAAAATTCAACACCCATTTATGATAAAAACTCTCCTGAATGTAGGCATAGATGGAACTTGCTTCAACATAATAAAGGCCATATATGACAAACCCAAAGCCAACATCATTCTCAATGGTGAAAAACTGAAACCATTTCCACTAAGGTCAGGAACTAGACAAGGTTACCCATTCTCACCTCTATTATTCAACATAGTTTTGGAAGTTTTAGCCACAGAAATCAGAGGAGAGAAAGAAATAAAAGGAATCCAAATCGGAAAAGAAGAAGTAAAGCTGTCACTGTTTGCAGATGACATGATACTATACATAGAGAATCCTAAAGATGTTACCAGAAAACTATGAGAGCTAATCAATGAATTTGGCAAAGTAGCAGGATACAAAATTAATGCACAGAAATCTCTTGCATTCCTATACACTA